GACATACAATGGAGTCATGGTAGTTTGAAGCCAGAAGTCAACTGCCGGTTTATAGACTTTTTGCCGTAAGAGTGTACGTTGCCCAGGGTGTACCAGGTTGAGGTAAGTCGATCGCACACCCCATAACAANAAGTTATTTAAAAGTTAAAATCGTTGATTTGTGTCACTTTTTTCATTTGCATGATTCAATTTACCATACCTGGGGTGCGTGATAGACTTACCTCCACGTGGTGCACCCTGGGCAACGTAAACTCATATGGCAAAAAAGTCTATTAACTGGCTTTTGACTTCTGGCGCTGTACTCATCCTACCTTTTCTCTGCCTTCATGCCTGTCTCTTTACATCTGTAAATCACTCTTCTGTTCCCCCACCCCTCGACTTTCTGTTACTTTGATGTTCCTTCCCCCTGTAAAGCCCGAAGTCAGCTAAAGGGCTAATGATAACTATCAAAACGCCTGCCATTTGAAATAAATAAATAAATAAGAGTTTTAGATGGAGTTTATGTCCGCGATATTCAGACCTGGTTGACTATTTTGAGTTGATCAAGAGGCAAACTGTGTCACTTTGATTCGACTGTATCACCTCACAGACCAGAGCGGGAAATATTGTAAACATGACAGATTCGGACCATAATGATTTCATCCTTTTCGTTACATTAAAGCCTAGTGCAATCGGGAGAGTTGCATGGGTGTGTGCTTATAGCATCATGCCGTTATTCCTCCAAGTGTAGGATATTGAAAAATATTTAAATCCTGTTGTTCGGATTTCAAAAAATGCATATCCTTGGAGAAGTAAGAAAATAGCTAAACTCAAATTCCTCAAAATCATCGGATAATTAGAATTCTGTGGATTTAAGACGTGATATAACTATAATTGTTCATTGTATTAGCGAGTACATTTGATCAAGTCATATAAGCGGAATCCAAAATGAGGAGTTGTCAAGTCTTCAATTTTTTCATGGAGAGTGGAAATGGCTACTTATGAATTCTATGGACATTGGGAGTTAGGAGTGGTATTGGTGTATTTGGTTTCATTATTTTAGGTGATTCATATTTCGAAGCTTTTTTCAATGTGAAGATGCAGTTATACGCCTCTTTTCTAAATAGTAAAATTCGATTCCTGATAGACACTTTATTATTTATTTGATCGCCTTTTCTCTTCATTTGTCGTTCATTAATTTAATTAATTTATAATACATTGATGCTAAATTAAATTCCTGCAACCAAAGCACTTCTTTTTATTGCTGCGCAACTTTTTGATTGCTTAGTCAAATTCAGACGTAGTACAGAAATTCATAGCACAATAAGCATGCTTGGTAATACAGGTGAGGAATTGTTTGGTTGCATTAATCTCATCTTTCTTACTAATGAGCTAAATTATGTGGGCCTAAAGTATTTTCAATTTAAATTCTTTGACAATTGAGGTGAAGGATCTACAAATTTCAAAGCGTATACAATTTATTAAAACATTGAATTATTTGCTATAACATACATAAACAAGTAGATCAATATACTTTATTGATTTGATAAGATTTATTTATCTCATATGGCAGGCGTTTTGATAGTCATCATTAGCCCTTTAGTTGAATTCGGACTTCACAGAGGGGAGGAACAGGCAAAGTCACAAAATGTCGAGAAGGGGGGAACAGAAGAGTGATCCGCATATGTAAAAGAGACAGACAGACATAATGGCAGAGAAAAACCATTGAAAGTACTTTGGAAGTGGTGGAATATGATATACAGTCTGGTGATGGTAGTTAGAAGTCAGAAGTCAACTGTCGATTTGGAGACCTTTATACCGTATGAGTATAAGTTGCTCAGGGTGTACCCCGTGGAGGCAAGTCTATCGGCCCCCCCCCCCAATGTATATAAGATAGGATAAACATGTTAAATTTGGCCTATGTTTGCTTACAATTCCTTTGAAAGAAATAAATATATAGAATATTTTATTATACGCTTTCTTTTATGCACAACGTAACTCGTCAGCGATTTCTGAAGGTGAAGATCTGATAAACCTGATCCCACTATCAAGTATTCTGGATTAATGTAATATGTTAGTAAGTAAGCATCACTGTAGCATCAAAATTATTTTACCACAGAAAACGCAATGAAAGGATTCGCATATTAAGTTAAGCATAAATAAGAATTCAATTATGCTAAAGTGCCTTCGTTAGCGGTTGAAGGAGGACACTGTTAAATCAAAGTGGAATGGCTGAACATCTAAGTATAGAAAACGGCCAAGAAATTATTCCAGCATGTGAATACTCCCAGAAACGTTATAGAGGGGGAGAGAGAGAGCTTGAAATTGTCAGAAATTACAAGTAAACTATCACCCAATGGAAAAGCGGCCAACTCGGTGCTATCAGAATTCAAATTACTTAAGAGATTCATCATCCCGACTCCATTATAAATACACACATCTTCGTCTCATCCCTTGTTAATCTATTCAATATATAATAATAAGCGTGACAATGACTATTAAATGATATCTGAAGAAAATAAATAGAAGAGTAAATGATACAAGTGTAAAGTTAAATTACAAAGCTGAAAAATACTAAATCTCTCTAGCAAAAGCTCTGACTGTTACTAACAAACTAATGCGAAGTTCAATAGAGAGTATTATCAAAATTACTTATTCATTTATTTATTTCAAATGACAGGCGTTTTGATAGACTTTTTTGCCGTATGAGTATACGTTGCCCAGTGTGCACCACGTGGAGGTAAGTCTATCGCACATCCCGTATTAACAAAATAAAGATAAATTGAAATGCACACGAGTCGACAATCCGGCAACTTGGAGACCAATTGGCAGAGATAATCGTCCATGGAAACTAAACACTTACGAGAGTTACTGCCTTTTGGAGGTACATCGACTTTCATCTGCTCAAAAGGGGATTTGATTAATTTCGAAATTTAAGCTTCTGGTACACCAGACTTTAGCCTGGGNGTATCGATATAAACGGTTAAATGTATACCAATTGCTTGTTTCAAAGGGACGTCTGCAAATATAGAATAGCTTTTTAGACGAATCAGGCGTAATAGCAACAAATATTTATTTATTTATATCAAATGGGAGGCGTTTTGACGGTTATCACTAACCCTTTAGGTGACGTCAGACTTCACAGAGGGGAAGGAACATCAAAGTGAAAGAAAGTCGAGAGGAGGGGGGACAGAAGAGTGTTCAAAGACGAAGGTAGAAAAAAGGTGAGGTGAGTACTGTGGAAGTAGTCGAATATGACATACAATGGAGTCATGGTAGTTTGAAGCCAGAAGTCAACTGCCGGTTTATAGACTTTTTGCCGTAAGAGTGTACGTTGCCCAGGGTGTACCAGGTTGAGGTAAGTCGATCGCACACCCCATAACAACAAATATAAGTTATAACCAGAAGCATGAAAATAATTTGTCAAAATTCCAGAAGGTTTCTTTGAAGAAAAACCAAAATGTCGGATCCAAATCGAATATCGTATATACATTTCCCTCTAATCGGTTCAGTGATATTGCCCTTAAGATGCCGATATATGTGATCGAAAAGTTCGAAATTGTAAATGAAACTTAATGTTAATAAAATTTATACATAGTCACAACGGACATATTATTTCAAAAAACTGCATGGAAATATTAATTTTTGGCCGAGTTAGACTTAAAGGATATTAAGCAGGCAGCAATCAAATCGTTGAGTTTTAATATTAGTGCTTGTGATTAAATTTAATTCCAAATTTCAAGGCAATTCCCTTGAAGTTTACTAAATAGGGATGGTTAAGTTACTATTTGATGGATTAATGCGATTTCTCCGATTGCTAAAAAATGAACTAATATGTAAATTTCTAAGAGGCAGAACTTTTAAAATGACGATATATTTGACGAACTCTTTATAAAATAAGCAATTTTATAAATCTCCACATCATTGAGAATCTATCTTCTAGAGAGAGCTCATGTAACATATTTAAAGTTTTCCGTCTACAGTAAAAGTAATCGCGTCTTAGCATGATAAATTCGTGGCTACAATTTAGAGAAATTGAAAATTAAATTATACAAAAAATGTGATATGACACGTTTTTATGATTACCTCAATTTCAAAGCTAGAATAGAATTAGCATATAATATAACGGCATAATGTTTTGAAATATTTTATTCATTACTTTCTAGTCATAAATTGTAATATTTTACACAAACAAGCGAATACTGTTACTACATTCCTAAAAATTTCTCCATTCTACGCTAAAACAATTTAAAAATACTAGGTGACATTACTCATCTGAATGACCTCAAGGCTTTATTCATTCGAGAATTATATGCTAAAAACGTCAGGTATTTCAAAATAGAGAACATTAAATAATCGAACACAGAAATAAATCAAAATAATATTCCTTATACCAATTGATCAACATAAAATATACATAGTACATCAATTTCAGTTTAATTAAAAATGACCTTTTGTTTGAACTTCTTAAATAAATAATTAACTTAAGGTTCACAATTTCGAAGCATTTTCGATCAGGTATAATAAAATGTTGCGATTTTTCACAAAAATGTTGGTTTGAATATATTTTTCAAATAAAATTTTATCTTTTGACATTTATATACTGTTAAGACATTTCGTGTCTTAAAAATTTAAAATTATGTGAATAATAATTTAGACTTTAATCTTGATTTCAAATATCGCTCTTTTCAGAATTGTGTAATTTAACCATTGCATATTAAAAGGATATTAGTGTAATGCCGACATATTTGTTCAATTCAACCCTTCTGCTTAAAAAGGTAATCAATTTTAATGCCAAACAGTTCGTTAGGTTTATTCTTCAGGAACATACCTGCTTGATAGAGACGATATTTATTTGTTCATAAATATTTTTGATAGTGTTCATTTTACGAAACTTTCACCACCAAACTTCCCTCTTGAAGTTCAGGAGAGTTTCTCATTTGAAAAGGTAAGTATACATTTCTCCAACACGTTTTCAGCGTTTCTTTGATACTTCTTCGCCATATGAACTATGTCGTAAATTGGAAGGTTTGTTCACATTGTGCAAAAATAATTTATTAATAGATATACCTGTGACAATTGAATTACGGCAGGTTACCGACTATTACAATAGCGGAAAATTGTTGGCCTATTTTGATGGGAACGCTCGCGATTTTTTCATGCCCTGTCCTACCCTCTGCAGCACAGTGGGCAAAAATAGAGAACTATTGATGATAAGAACAATAGACTTTCCAGTATGGATATATTTTATTATAACTTATTGTTTAGGGAGTTTCTCCAAGAGTAGAATTCTCAACAACTACGCAAATTAGCCCTGCGTCTTACTATCCGGAAAAGAGGGTAAATTGGTTTTTTCTTCTTTTAGTACACATAGATACAGCATGATAAAACGACTGGTATTAAAACAGCTCCTCCAGAAACTAATGGTTTTCTAGAGGGTCCCCATTATACTCGACCCACCTTGAATAGCATTTTGAGAAGTGCCTGTCAAAGGCAAAGAAGTCTAAAGAAGAGTTTAACCTCTAGAAGTCAGAGTGGAAAACCCGTAAGTCCAATAGCAGGGAAAGTTATGTACCTGGCACTTTTTCTTAATAATTCGACTAGCAATGTAATCTGATTATTCCCTTAGGTTATACGTAATGCTCAATAATTTATTGTGAAATTAAGTATATTTATTTGCAACCATAAAACGGGATGTCACCATAATATTAGACTTTAATTATTTGAGAAGTGGCTTTCTCCAAGGTACTTGTTTTATTTTTTCAGGAATATTCAAAACGATTATATTCACCCCTAAGAAGCTCCCTAAATCTGCCCCGACATACTGAGGAAAAGACACTTCCTTGTAAGAATGTTGTTTGATAATACTGGTCAGAGTTTAAATAATAAAAGTATTAGAGTTTTAGAATAAATAATACAATCGAATTGCTTTATCAAAGTGAAAATGTCAGATTGACTGCATTAAATGGTCACAGGAAAAAGAGTCCATTGCATTAGCATAATTCGGTCATTTATTGCAAATTTTCAACACTCATCTGAAGTAGAGTAGAATATGTTTGATCAGTTCTTCTTTCAAGTGGCGATGATTTTACCATTTCGATTGAAGGAGCTTTAAATTTTTTATCTAGCTATGTGTAATTGAATTTACATGATTTTACGACGTTAACCACTTGTGATGTCCATTTTAAGAACTCAGTCAAAGTTATATTTAGTCTGTCATACTCATTTATTATTATCTTTACAGATGAACCCAAAATAAACCCAAAATTCATAAACTAATTGAGTAAACATTGGTCAATTTGTGAATTAAAAAGGAATGAATTTATAACTAATTCCTGGAATCATGTACTGGTTTTTTATAATAAATTTTATCGCTTTAGGTCCTGGATGTTCTTCTGATTGCATTTGTACTGTGAGTAGTCGAAGTTGTAATTATTCTTTGCTTATTGCCAACATTTTGCTCAAACTTTGACATGAATTATATGCAACTTAGCGGCGTTAAAAATCTGATTTTGCATTTTAGATGAGACGGACCAAATCCTACACGTCGCTGCACGATTTAGACCTGAAAACTGCCCAGGAACGAAGGTAATCCCGATTTTATGTCTCGGTTTTTGCGTTTATTACTCTCAGTTGATAACCATTTCCACTGTCTGCTGTCTTTATACCTCAAGGTCATTGCTATAGGGATGAATTTTGTTTAAAGCTTTTTGGGCTACAAGGAAACAATAATTGTTTATTGCACCGTATCCTAGCAACATATCCTCCAAGCATATTTGTGCCCATCTAGTCCATATATGGAGTTTTTTGGACGACTTGATCATGGTAAATGACAGTCTCATCAAGCCTATGAAATGTCACGATATTAGTCACTAAGATGATATATTTGAGTTGAAATTATTTGGCTATTTCTTTTTAACAAATTGATACCAAATTGATCTAACTTTAATTTTTACTCAAATATAGTAAGATAAAGCTCATGAATTCTCTAAACAGTGCAATAATAAAAAGGCTTTTTTGATTCCAGAATATCGAAGTGCACAATTTGGGTACCGTTTCTTGGCACTAGATAATATAAGATTTGATTAATTGCAACCATAACCATTTAAAACGACGAGTCTTTATTTGTTCACTTTATTCATTCCAGTCGGGGAAAATGAGGGATTAAAAAATAAGCGAAGGGAACTTTGCACAGACTGCAAAGTGATCAAATTGTTGTTTACTTGAAATAGGAGACAAAGATTCCTAGAAACTCTGAGTTTGATCAATTTTTCATGCTCCAATTGTAGAATTTCGTGTTTCTCGAATGAAGACAGTTTGGAAAGTGCAGTGCATATTGACTTGCTGTTTGTTTAAGATGACTGTGTAGACAGGCCAGTCACATTTTCACGCATTTGGTCCACCACCTTGATCTATTTTGAGCGATCAAATTTGGCCTTGGGGAGACTTTTTACCACTCTTTATTCAGTAATTTGAACATTATTGATGACCACATAATGACATATATTTACTGTTACACATATATTGATTTTGAAAAAAAGTTTCCATATGTCTGATAGAGCATGATCAAATCAGCATTTACAGGTTTGCCCGTAAAACGGCTTGAGAAATTCGTATAAAAACTTAGATTTTCAAACATGGTAAACCTGGCAGTAGAAAAAAAGTTAATTAACTTCATATCTTGAAATTAGATTTTTAATGTATTGTAGACTGAGAGTCTGGATAGTATGGTTGGAATAGGCAAGCCTTGTACTAGTGCGTGTTGTTGACATGTAGCTAGGTAAAACTGATAGTTTATTTCCCATTAGCTCATTTCCTGTAAATGGTGTTAGCAATACAAAGTATATTGTCATGCAATTTTCCTATCGAGGGCTTCCCAGAAAGCCATATTTCTGTTCAAGATAAGCAATAGGAAATTCTTCCTTTTTCTTCGAAAATTAAAGGTCTAGTTTCTCCTATGTCATTACTAATTTCTCATTGAAAATGTCTTCAATGTCCTACCAATTCCTGCAATAAAACTAGGAAGATGATTGGATTAGCAACTGTTATTCCTTTAATAATGTAAAACGATTAATATTTTGAAGCTGTCAATCTAGAAATATTCCATCATCTAATTAGTACTTCAGGTGGATATTCCAATGTAACTGTACTGATGGATTGCTAAAAATAAAAAATGCATTTTCAATGAAGTTTACCGTGAATTATTAATGAATAAATTTTAAATGGCTTTTTTTCAGTGAACGCTATTGGCAGTTGTATCGTTATTGGCAACGTGAAGTGGACAACCTTCGCAGAAGTCGTGGATAGTCCATATCTCTCCATTAACAGAAAATAGAATTATGAAATAGTTTTGCACAAGGCCAATTAATTACCTGAAAATTGCACTTATTTTAAGTACATAACCCATTCATACTGAGATTTAAACATTAAACAGCTTGCGGGTTATTATTGATGCGTTGTCACAGAATGACTCCCAAGAAGACAAATCCTGATTGTCACTCAAAGTATGTTTCTTTTAACCTCCTACTTACAATGATTACTCTCATGCCAACAGAGCAACACACCTCTTCTTTCTACAATTCTCTCCTCCCCCAATACATTACTGGTCCATTTGAGCTTCTGTTATGATGTTTGAATGGTTGTTACATTTTAACGACCTTTAACATCAATATATTTCAATGGAAATAGTTACAAGTTCAAGTCGATCAGATTATAAAACTGACTTTTACTTTTAACTAATACAAAGAATTTCTTAAGGCTTCGCCTGTAGCGATTAACTCCTCAGCTATGTACTTGTGGAGAGCAATGTTTTGCATATAGTCGTCTCTCTGAACGTTAGTCCCTCTATTTTTAATTTGTAAACTGTACTTAGACGCAACTTTGATGGCTTATCAGAGAGCATGAACTTGCAGTTGAATTGTTGCCATAAGCTTCAGATCGTCGAGAAGTTAGTCTCTTGATATTGGAAATACTGTTTGGGCATTTTGATTCTCCGAAGATAAGTGCGAGATTTACATTTTGACTGATTCTTAGCACAAACAATTTCTGAACCATTAGTTGGTTTATGACTTGGTCGTTGTCCACTTTTTCTATGAGGCAATCTCATTTTTATTCCATAATTCTTGGTTGTAAGACTCATAATTTTTCAATAACGACTTCATTTTTGGTGTTGGTGAAAGAAGAAATTTCTGATATATTATCGTTGCAATGTTAGACTCATTCAAAAAATTTTCTTCGCATGCTGATGAATCTGGTGTTTAAAGGTCTTCAATGTAAACAGCCTTATCATTGTGTCATCTGATCTTTTTTTCCCATGGGCTGTGGGAAAATAGGCAGCTTTTTTGATTCTGAACGATGACCTTACCCTTATTAAATTGGTTCTTAATGTTATTCGTTCTCATGGTGGACTCTTCATTTGTTTCATGTACATTAATTGACCAGAGCATCTTAAAACTTTAATTTGTTCAGTTTTTAAAGAAATTGCCTCTGACCTAGTGGTGATGTCTTACTCAATTCCGGCATTCAATACCCAATTCTTCCAATTAAAGGATGAAATTTGCCCCCTTTAAGTCTTTAGGATCCAGACGACAAGATTTCGGCTAATTTTTCAGCCACCCAAGATAGGAGAGCTTTTGGCATCTGATCCTGTATAAGAATTAATGCATTCAAAACTGTTTTCACGGAATGATCTTTATTAGTTGAAGCAGATAACTGAGATATTTCACTACCCCAGTCTTAAAAATTTTGGTAAAATACACTCAATTTCAGTTGATTGTATAATCTTTATGAAGGTTGAGTTATGCCAGGAGCTCTTCCGCAATGTACAATGTATCAAGTGAAAAATAACTGTAAGTTTAACGTGCACTTTATGATTGAGGCATTTATTCAATCCCTACTTTGTGAAATGTAAACATCAGTTTGTATACTGGTCATTGCTTACAAACTAACTCCCGTTTGATTTTCACAAAAAGACGAATTATACACAATGTAATCGGGTACAACCAAAACAAAATTTAAGCCTAAGGATTCGAAAGTATAAATACAGTAGAATAAAAGGCTAAATAGCAGGTGTTAGGATGGAATACTTATGGAGTGGTACAACCGTTTAATTCTCCACGTTTATCAACTTATCTTTGAAAATAATTGTTTATATTTTATTTCATATGGAGAAAGTTCCATCTTTGTGACTGATTAGAATTAATATTAACTTGTCATTTCGTGACTAGAAATTCTCTGATCTGCTTAGTCGTTACCTTTATGTAGACTCGAAGTTCATTTATCCATGCTGTTTATCTAGAAATCTTTAAAGCAAATAAATCATTTCTACTTATATGTGTATTAGTAGCGCTTGTGTAAAAGCTATGGGAAAAGATAGAATTTATTTCTTAGGCGCTTTAGAGAAAATAATATATAGGATCTCTTTGAATACCAAACAGTGCCCACTAAATTGATCATTTGGCTCTGTCAAACTACTAATCTTCTGCAAACAACTGATTTCAAATGCTTCAGAATTTGGTCAAAGACCAGAGCAGGTCTAATTGATATTGATCGCAGACACTCTTGAAGTTAGTGGAGAGAAGTCAAAATTGTCGTAACACCTTATCATTTTCACTCTTTGCAACTTGGGCCTTTTTATCTACTGCACATTATTTCACATTTATGTGC